CTCCTGGCAAACTCCTACTCACTCGTCAAGACCCAGCTCAAATATTACCTCTTCTGGGGGGTTGTCTGAGCTCCCCAGGAAGAGCCCCCACAGGGTCTTGCTGCTTCCTAGACATGCACTGCCGTGATCTATTTCCAGGTCTGTCTCTCTCCAAGCCCCTCCGCGCAGGGACTGCCCGATTCGCACTTACCTCCCGGCCCCCACAAGGTACCTGGCTTCGTAGTATGTATTTATTTGACCGGAAACAATTTGGGGTCAAAATGAGTTGTCTGGACCTGAGCATCTGTCCATCAAAAACCAAGAGGCATCTCAGCCTGCCTGCCTGCCTGCCTGCCTTCCTTCCTTCCTTCCTTCCTTCCTTCCTTCCTTCCTTCCTTCCTTCCTTCCCCGTCCAACACGGAAGGACTCCCCTCCCCCAGGATCGAGTCAGTTGCCACCGTCTCTGACCCCCCCTCGCCCCGCATCGATCAGCACCCAGATCTTCATGCATCCCAATGAGCCCTCCGCCTCATATCTTGCCCTCCCAGCTACTGGCCAGAGTCCCTCCCGCATTCAGACCCGGACACGGAGGGCCCGAGTGTGCTCAGCCCCGGTCCCCGTCTGCGCCTGGTCATCTGCCTCTTCCACCGTCACACGTTCCGTCCCATCCGCAGGCCCGCATCGCGCCTCAGCCTCGCCGTCTGCCCTCCCCCCCTCGGCCGCGGCTGCACCACACCCGCCTGCCGCCCTCCCGGTCCTGCTGCCCTCCTCAGTCACCCCTGTTCTCCATCCTTCCTCCACCAGACACGGGAAGTCCAAGTGCACACAAAGCCAGTGCTCCGCTGGGTCCGCTCTTCTCACTCTGCGCCGTCCCCAGGGATGGCTTGGGAGGGCCCGTGAGGCTGGCCATCCTCACAAACGCCCCTGCTGGCCACCTCCAGCCACCGAGCCTCAAGCCCGTCGGCCGGGCTGGGCCTGGGGCACCTCCCCCAGGCGGCCCCGGGGCAGCCCATCCTGACATGCTGTTCCGCACCCCAGACCTGCAGCCCCCCCGGGGGTCCTCACTCCCCAGTGTCCCCAGCATCCGTCCCATTGCCCTGCAGGGAGCGGGGTCCCACCCTGTCCCCCCCCCCAGCCTCCAGGTCCTGCCCGCTGTCTGTCTGGAACCCACGCCCCCCTCAGCCTTTGTGGTTCTCCCCAGAGCTATGGCAAAAACATGCATACCCTTCTTCCTCCCCCGGCCCGGCGCCTCCAACCTCTTCTCCCCCGGACAGCTCAGGGCAAGGGAAGAGGGGCAGACGGGGCACCTGGGGGCTCGGTGGGTTCAGCATCTGACTTCAGCTCAGGTCACGATCTTGTGGTTCATGAGTTCGAGCCCCGCGTCAGGCTCTGTGCTGACAGCTCGGAGCCTGGAGCCTGTTTCGGATTCTGTGTCTCCCTCTCTCTCTGACCCTCCCCCGCTTATACTCTGTCTCTCTCTCCCTCAAAATAAAGAAACATTAAAAATTTAAAAAAACAAACAAAGGAAGAGGGCCAGAGACAGCGCTCTAAGAGCAAACCTCAGAATTCCTTCCCTGGGAAAAGCACACGTTTTGGTCTGGGAAGGCACTGGAAGGGAAGGTTAGGGGCGGCTCTAGGCCACAGGCGGGTGGGCTGAGGGAGAGAGCTGCACTGCTCCGGGCAAGACCTCACCGGCAGGTGCATTTGGGGTACCCAGCGGAGGGGGCGAGCCAGTGCCCCAGAAGCTGACCTCTCGACTGAGCTCTTGATTGTAAGGCAGCTGCCCCTCAGCCGAGCTGGGGTCTGGGGGAAGTCACAGCCAGTCAGCATTGAAAGAGACGACCACAGAGATGGATGGACTTACCCCCATCCCCCCGCCCACCGAAGAATGGGAGATACCTCCCCGCTGCCTGTTGAGCCTATCTGAGTCCAGAGAGTGACCATAAACCCCAACCGAAAGGCTGTTCTTTTATCTACTTGTCTAGGCCAGAAAAACATTTTGGAGGCATGTGAAAGACCACCGAGCTCTGAGTGCAGAGAAGGTAAGAAAACACTGAGGCGGGTGAGAATGACCGGCTACTGGGCAGGACAGACCGTGGGCCCGCCCCTCCCCCAGCTCAGGGCCAATGTGTGAATTTGTGAGGAACACAGTTCAGTCCACAGTACATTTCCTCCTCTTTTTTAAATTAAATGTTTATTGGGGCGCCTGGGTGGCTTAGTCGGTTAAGCGTCCGACTTTCGCTTGGGTCATGATCTCGCGGTTCGTGGGTTTGAGCCCCGCGTCGGGCTCTGTGCTGACTGCCAGCTCGGAGCCTGGAACCTGTTTCGGATTCTGTATCTCCCTCTCTCTCTGACCCTCCCCTGCTCACACTCTCTCTCTCTCCTAGAAATAAATAAAACATTAAAAAAATTTAAAAAAAAATAAATTAAATGTTTGTTTATTTTTGAGAGAGAGCGTGCCTGTGAGTGGGGGAGGGGCAGAGAGTGAAGGGGACAGAGGAGCCTAAGAGGGCTCTGAGTTGTCAGCACAGAGCCCAATGCGGGGCTTGAACTCACAAACCCTGAGATCATGACCTGACCTGAAATCAAGAGTCGGATGCTTAACTGACGGAGCGGGCCAGGCGTCCCAGTACATTTCCTCCTCTCTGAGGTCGGGGACAGTGTCTTTTTCATCTCTGTCTTCTCATTCCCAGCTCAGTGAATATTTGCCGAGGAACTAGGTTACCTGGACGGAAGGAAGAGTGACAACAGTTGGCGGAGGGGGGTCATCTCATGGAAGTCTCTGCGGAGAAGATAGCATCTCAGCTGGGTATTGAAGGATGAATAGGAGTTTGCTAGTTGGGGCATTGCAGGCAGAGGAAAGGGCCTTTGCAAAAGGCACTGTGTTTGGGAGGGAGGGAGAAGCGGAGGCTTGAGAAACAAGGGTAAGTGGGGACGAGGGAGGAAGAATCTGTGGAGGGAGCCGGTGGCCAGGGGGTGCCCGCGAAGGAGGCAGGGAACGGGCCCCGGGGGCCCCCCAGTAAGGTACCCAGGCAGGGGAGGGTACGGGCAGGCATGTGCTCCAGACAGACTGCCGTGGGCTCTTGAGATGGGATGGGCCAGCGGGGATGATGTAGAGAGATGTTCAGGGAGCAGAGGCAGGAAGCGCCGTCAGCAGGCAGGGCTGCTCCGTGGAACTTTGGGGAACGTCGTCCAGATGAGGAACACTCCCTGGACCTCATGACTCAGAGGGAAGAAAAGGGCGCCTCTGTTAGTCAGGAAGCCGAGTTCCGCGATAGCCCGGCAGCCTCTGGTGGCCACTAGGGAGGCACTGATCTCCTTGCTGGTTAAGCTCTTCCGAAGTGTGCTCACCGGGGATGTGCCCCTCCCGGGGGGACTGTGCCAGGTCCCAGAGCCCCCAGCACAAGTGGGCCACCTCTCCGGACACCAGGGTCCCTTCCACCAGGAAGGTGGGGGCCGGGGAGGGGGACACGAGGGGCTGGGCACCGGTTCTGCGATGATCCTTACGTAGGAGGCGGGCTTCCACTCTGGAGGGCAGCCCGGGAACTAAGAAGGACCCCCCCTGGGGCAAGCACAGCGCCCAGAGGGCTCCAGCCTCCCTATCAAATAGCCCAGCAAAACTCCGGGGCCACAGAGCCTTATTGTAGAACTGTCAGCCCACCTGGCTTCACAGGTGGCGGAGGGAAGGGGTCAATAAACAGAGGCAGGTGTGCGGACCCTGAACCCCAGCACGGGCCGGTGCGGATTTCCTAAAGGGCCGCCGAGGGGGCCTGTCCGACGTGGGAACTTCCGAGCTGAGCAGAGCCCAGGAGGGAGAGAAGGGCCTTGCCTCGGGCCGGGGGCCTGCTGTGTCCATCCAGGGAGGGGTGAGCGTCGCCTCGGCGTGGTCAGGGCGACCACGTGCCCCAGTCTGCCGGGGACTGGCCAGGCGCACGCCAGCGTTCCATGGGCGCCAGTGAGGGAGCCACCTTCCACCCCGCACGGGCCTCTGGTGGCAACGATTCTGTGACCACACCTACCAAGATGGCTGACCGTGTACATGGAGACCAGCTTTTAGGGGGAAAACCTGAGGGGTGCGGAAGCCCTAAGCCCCATAAGATGGGGCCCCAGGGCGATGAAGAGGCCGTGAAGGCAGGGCCCTCACCAGGGACTGAGCCCTTATGGGAAGGTGAGGCAGATAAGAAAGGTGATCTCTGGCCACCAAGTGAGGACACAAGCAAGAGGCAACCAGGCGGGGAGCGAGCTCTTACCGTGCAATCACGCCGGCTCCTGGATCTGGGTCCTCCAGACTCCACCCCTGTGAGAAGTAAGTGTATGGGTGGTTGTTTAAGCTTTTGTATACTGAGTAGCAGTATATTGACTCTGGGCGGTCAGTCTTCTGAACAAAGTAGAGGTGAGGAGACGTTTAATCCCAGAACAGCGTTGGTAGTGGGTGGGGGGAGGGGCAGACCTGCCGGGCCCTCCCACCAGGGAGCCCTACCTGCATTTCTCTTCCCTTCCTGAGCCGTGTGCTCCAGCCTTAACCAGCTATGGAAGTTTCCAGAACCTGGGAGCTATCTCCACCACGCTGTGTCTGTTCCTGCTGTTCCCTCAGCCTGGAATGCCCTTCCCTTCACTGGCCTCTGGGAACGCTTCCTCATCTGTTGAGCTGTTTGGGAAGCACTTTCTCAGGGAGCCTCTGCTGACCTCTTGGTATATGGAGGGGGGGTGCTCTAGAGGGTCAGTCTTGTCTCTGCTGGTTGGTCTCCCCAGCCCGACAGAGTCAGGCGTCAGCCCCACACCCCTCTTTATCACTGGTGTCCGGTGCCAGCTGGCAAGTGCTTCTGACTTGCTGCCCTGCGAAAGGGGTGTCCTCTGGCGCCCCCACGCAGATGGGGGTGGCGCCCCCACGCAGATGGGGGGTCCCGCCCCTAGACGCCCCGCCCTGCCCTGTGCCTGTCCACGGCCAATGCTCTCAGCAGACGGACTCCCCAGGCGCCAGCCCGTGCCGTTAGAAATGACACACGTTTATGAGAAGTGGCTTTGACCTTCACAAGTTAGGATACACCGACCTTTATTTTTCCAGGCTCCCCTGGGAGCTGACATGACATTGCACTAATGAGAAAACGGGGGTTTCCAGTTGCTCGGGCTCAGACTGCTAAATGGAAGGAAGCGCATTAAGTGCTACAAACTCCCCGTCCCTGGCCAGGCCGGGCGGGGGAGGAGCCGGTGCGCGACGCGGGGTGCGCAGCGAGGCTGGGAGGATCTGGGGAACGCTGACTCACAGACGGGGCGGCCAGGACACACAGAAAGACACTGCTCCACAGGGTACAGGGAAGACAGACTTTGGTGACACCTTCCTACTGAGTCGTCAACCTCTCAACCCACTCTGCGAGCCACCCAGCAGGCACCGGCCCGTTACCAGGCGCGGACGCCTTTCCGCTGGGGGCCCTCTGCCCGGCTCGGGGGTCGGAAAAGGGGGGTGTTCCCCTCCTCCTTCCCCAGCGGCCGCTGCCCATCCCCGGACCTCGCACGCACCAGGCTGAGGTGGGCACCACCAGCCATGTCACAAAAGGCCACACCAAGAGCTACGATGGGTACTAGGCTGGGCGCGTGGAAACCCTTTGTTCTGGGGCTTTGGCCATCGGGGGAGAATGTTCTCCCTCCCGGATGCGGAAAATAACGGCCAGGCAAACAGCGGTGGCTACATGTCACGCAAACTCACAAACAGCGTTACGTGGCCGAGGGCCGCCCTTAAGGGCACCTGTGCGGCAGGGGAAAAGGAAGAAAAGCAGAAAGAAAGCAGACGAGGAGCCGCGAGCGCTGGGGGTGCCGGGGAAGCGGGACCACACAGGTCCCAAGAGCGGGCAATGAGGCTGGCGGCGCCCCCTTCCGCGGGACCGTGCGCTGAAACTCTATATACGTCATCTCATCTTTAAGTAGGCTATGCTCTTTAATAAAATAAAAACTTCTGTGTTACTTTAAAGATATCATTGAGGCATCTGGGGATGGTTCGGAAGAAAACTGCGGTGTGTGGAGGCCCCGGCAGAAGGTACCCTGTCTGGTAGACGGTCGTCCCTAAAAACAGACTCGTCACACACGGCTGCAAAAATCATGCACCCCACGCTTCGCTTCGGGCAGCCCTGGGCGCTCCGCACCGTGCTCCCTGGCCGGGCCTGTCTGCGCGCAGGGCTGAGCCTCCCCGGGGCTGAGCAAGTCGGGGAGGGGGGTGCGGAGCAGGCGGCCACACACCTGTGATTGTGTTGCGCCAGCGTCTGCCACTGACAGACCTTCCTGAACCCCAAGTCCCGGGCACCTCTGTGCCCTCCCCCCTACCAGGGCCTATCACGGGGGCTGGGGCACCTCACAGGGGTCAGGAAGGGGGCGGCGCACGGTGTTCCTCAAGCCCCTGGAGCATCTTTGCAGCGCCTCCGCGAGGCCAGGCAACAGCGGGTTACAGGAGAGCGCGAAGCAGGGCGCCTGGGCTCGGGGCTGGGGCAGGAGCGCCGCTGGCAGAAACGCGGGGCCTCCTCCTGCCCCAGCCCCCCCTCCCCGGGGGCCCACCGCCCGCCCCCAGGGACACAGAGAAGCCAGGGCCAGGCGCGGGAGGAAGGGTTCTGCGGTCGCGCCGGCTGTCCCGCGCTCTGCCGCTGGCGGCCGTCAAAACAGCAGGGCTTTCTTCTTGAGGTCATTCCTCTTCCAGAGGGCCAGGCGGTCGAACTCCTCCACGCTCATCCCAAACACTTCCCGGAAGTCCTCAGGCGACAGGTGCCTCTGCAAACAGACCGGGGACCCAGAGAGGAGCAGTTAGCAGCAGCGACCCTCTGCAACTCTGTGCCGGCGGGCCAGCTCCGTCCGCACCGCCGGGCCGTCCGGAGGCCGAGCCGGCATCCAGGACGCAGGGGGCTCTCACTCCCAGGTCCCCCATGCCCTCCGCGTCCCTGCCGTCCCCACTCGGCAGTGCGCGTGAGCAAGTGCAGAGAAAGAGACGCGGGCAGGGGCCCCACTCTGCACACCCGTGTTCACGGCAGCGTGATTCACCGAGGCCAAAACATGGAAACGACCCAACGGAGGCACAAATGCATCCACAAAACGTGGTGCAGGCACATGGGGGGTGTCGTTCGGCCATAAGTGGTCATGGAGTCCTGACTCGCGGGGCAACACGAAGCAGAAACGCAGCAGGAGGCGTGTGAAGGAGGCACGTCCTGTGTGGCTGCAGTGCTGGGGGGCGTCCAGAACCGCAAGGACCAGGGACCGGTGCGCGCCTGAGGGGGCTGGGGAGGGACGGGGCTGGGGGGTGCCAGCATCTCTCTTTGCGGTGGGGGGTGGGGGGTTTACAAATGTTCCAGAACCAGGTCAGGTGGTGGCCGCACAACTCGGTGAAGCTACTAAGTACCACTGATTGTGTACTTCAAAGTGGTTACAATGGGGCATTTTATGTGACTTACCCAATTCTTGCCCCAAATGCATTTTCCTTGACTCTGACACTAAACTACTCGTGCTAAAGGTTGTGATGAGCAGGGGCACCTGGGGGGCTCAGTTGGTTAAGCGTCCGACTTGGGCTCAGGTCATGATCTCGGGTTCGTGGGTTCGAGCCCCGCGTCGGGCTCTGTGCTGACAGCTCAGAGCCTGGAGCCTGTTTCCGATTCTGTGTCTCCCTCTCTCTCTGCCCCTCCCCTGCTCACGCTGTCTCTCTCTTTATCTCAAAAATAAATTAAAAACATTTAAAAAGTTGAGAAAAAAAAAAGGTTGTGATGATCCCAAGAGGCGTGGATGTGAGGATGTCGGGTCCTCTGTGGAAAGTACACACGTCAGCCATCACCAGTCACGGCTTCACAGAGATCACGGCCTCGTGTGGCGGGGGTGGGGGTGGGGTGCAGGCCGGATGCCACCACGGTCCACGAGACGGGGCTCAGGACACCGTCCGTCTTGTGCTGGGCACAGGAGGCCCTCCTCGTTGGGCCCAGGCCCAGAGTACTCAGGGCGCGTGTGCGTGCGTGCACACACGTACACACACACACACACAGACCCGCACAGAGATGCACACACAGAGACACAGACACCCCGTCAAGCGAAGTCTCTGGCAGGAGGACGCCGGCAGCTGCCCGCTGCGATCTTGAACTTGCAGAGTGGAAGGGTCCTGCCAGAAACGCCAGAACTGAACCGGCCGCGCGGCGTGGGCCCGGCGTGCCCAGGAGCCCACGGCCGGCCCACGGGGACACAGAGCCGTCATCGGCCGACAGCACCCCCATTCCATCAGATGGGGACACGGGAGGCCAGGCCAGAGGCACTGGCACGCTTCTCAGCACCCGCGGGCTGCCGGGTTCCTGGCCCCGGTGACAGGCGCGCGGGAACGGGGATCGCTCAGAGCCCCAGGCCGCTGTCGGGCAGGCGTCCGCCTTCTCAGCCGTCCTCAGCGGACGGAGCACGGGGAGGTCTGGGACGACTGGACAGGTGCCCGAAGGTGGTCCCGCAGAGCAGGAAGGGATCCCAAGGGTGAGGTGTTCGAGGGCCCTTCTGGGGGGGCCATGTAGGGGATATGCAGGGCGGGGGAGAGGCTGGGAAGGTGGGGAGCGCGGTGCTGAGGGCCGAATGTGCGCCCCGTGCCCCTACACCCCCCAAGCCAGGGCACGGGGGACAGCGGCGGAGCCTGGGGACACTTGAGGAGCCATAGACGCCTGACGGCGGGTCCCAGGCAGCTCACCTTCACTCTCGGCACCAGGATGCCCAGGGAACTGAGTGAGAAAAGCTGCACAGAAGCCCACGTCCCGTGGCCACGGAAACACCCACCCTCAGGACCCGTGCACTGGGGCCCTGTGGTGGAGCAGCAGCAGCAGAGGGCAGGGTGGGGGAGGGAGGAGTCGGGGAGGAGCCTGCCCACAGGCCACCTGTCCCCAGCGCCAGCCCACCTAGGGGTGGGTTGGGGTGAGCCCAGGGCCAGTGCTCTCAACCTCCATGACACGGGGTCCTGCATTCCTGCTGCATCGGGGGCAGGGAGGCAGGGAGGGGTTAGGGGAGAGTGGAGGGGAGGCTACAAGGGGTCCCAGAGAGTTCGCAGCCCCTCAGGCCTTGGCAACCCCCCGGGGTGCTTGTCAGAGCTGAGAACTGCCTACCCGGGTGGGCTCAGTGGCCCGGGGCCGGGAGCCTGTATTTGTCACCTGCCTCCCAGAGTCTGGGACCATTTGGGGTAAGGGAAAGCCCTAGAGGCTGGCAGGCACCCCGACCTCATCTGCAGGGCGAGAACAGAACTTGGCTCCCTGAGGACTCGGGAGGGCCGGGCAAGGGTCAGATGACGACTGCCTCGATGAGCCTCCCTGCACTGCCGGCCAGGCCAGGAGCTGAGGGCTGCTGCTCAAGCTGCCAGACCAGAGAAACTCGCTCAAGGCCATGCGGCAGGCTCGGGCAGCTCCTTCACCCTGTGCCCCTCAGCAGGCTGGACAGGAGGGGTACAGCTGACCCCCTGGCCCGAGCCGTCTTCCTGACCCTGGGCCCATTTCCTTGGCCCCGGCTCCTGAAGGGTCCCCAGAAGGCGGGCGGCCTGACCTCCAGGTGCCGGCCAAGGTCAGGCACCGCCCAGCGCCTTCCTGAGCCGGCAGGAAGGAAGCCCAGGGCGAGGTGCCTTTGGAGAGGCGTGGGCTGGCCTCACTCGGGCTCAGCCTCATTCCCGGGGTGCCCCGGCCTCCCCAGGAAGTGCCCCTGAGGAGGGGGCTATTTTTGCAGCGGCAAGGGACCCTATATGCTTTGCTGGGGGTCTTGCCTACATACGACCCCCCCACACACACACACACACCGGGCAGCGTCCTGAAAGACCTCCAGCCCAGGATCCAGACACAGCAGGATTCCCACCCCGGCTCCACCCCTGCCCGGCGGTGCTGAGTGACTCGACCTCAGTTATGATTCTGTAAAATGGGAATAAGCACATCTGTGCCTTCACGCACTCTCTCGCTCTTGGCAGGTCAGCCTCTCCTCATGTGCCCAGGCAGCTCCCGCTCACTCCTCACACCTGACCTTGCATCTCGGCTCCTCCAGGAAGCCCCTCCTGACTGCACCCTCACCACAGGCTCCCAGAGCCCTCAGGCCTCCCTGCAGGGTGTAAAGACGAGCACCACCCCCAGGTTCAAGGGCGCTATCGTGATGTCACTGAGTGCAGAGCTGGGCAGAGAGGCCCAGGGGAACACGGCCCTGGGACGCTCCTGCTGCACAGGTGCGGTTGGTGTTCGTAACCTCGAGAGCGTGAGCGATCGAAAATGCAATAAAGGAGGTAGGAAGGGCCGAGTTTTGAGTACTTAGTACCTTTGCTTTGCATATAATGTATTTCATCCCCAGTTGACTTGGTTCTCAGCAGTGGCTGGGTTTAACGCCCAGCGTGCAAAGTTCCTGAAAATTTAGCAGGAGGAGCCGCCTGGCAGCCACTGAGTGGCCTGTCCTGTGGTTCCCTGGGTAAAGGCCACGCCGGGCAGGGGCGGGGACTCCTACGCCTGTGCCCGGGGCCCAGCGCGGGGCCTTCGCCGACACCAGGGGGCTGTAGGATTGCTGGCGGCGGGTGTGTGGAGGCTGAGCTCAGTGTCTGCTCTGGGCCTGTCTCTTATTCACTGGCGGGTGGGGGGCGGGGACAGCTGCTGGGATGCAGATATAAACCTGGCCAGGCCACCCTCACCCCACAGAGATCTCTCACCGGTGGGGAGGCAGCTCGGAGAGCAGTCTGTCCCTGCGGGGGCCACGGCACACTGGAACTCGGAACTCCGCCCAGGGGCCCAGGGCTCTTCCCCAGGAGCCAGAGTGGCGCCCCCCATGGCCTGGCAAGGCCCCCCCATGGCCCTGAGGCCTGGCCCCCCGCACCACCCCTTCGGGGCAGAGATCCCCCACGTTTTCTGGGTCACAGACCTCGAGTGACATCGGTGAGGCGGCCCCTCCCAGCCGGAACACGGCACTCATACACTCTTGGCGTCGGGCCAGGGAGCTCCGCGGACACCCTGAGGCCCAGGTAGGGGCCCCAGTTGGGAACATGAACCCCACAATGCTCCTGCACGGACTGAGGGCCACCGGCTGTGGTGAGGGCCTTCACCACATCTGCTGCCGACCTCACACCTTGAGAGTCTCATCTAATTGCCTCAGGAAACCCAGGCTCAGAGAGGTCACGTGCCTCACCCAAGGTCACACAGCCAGGAAGCCACAGGGCTGGGCCCAAGAGCCTGGGAGCCTGGAGCTTGGAGCCTGGCCTGGCAGCCCAGCCATGCTGCCTCTGCTCCAGCAGGGTGGGGTTACCCCATCCCCCCCAGCAGGGCACTTCCAGCAGCCCCTCACTTTTCCAGGCCCAGCTGTGACCCTGGGAGGGGCCTGGCTGATCCTCACCTGCTCCTTCCGCCTCACCCCCCAGGCGCCAGGCCCTGCACCCCTGCACGGGTGTGGGCTGACCTGGTGAGGTTCAAGCCCCAGGCTGGCACGGGCTGCCATGCCTGGGCCAGAGAGGGGGGTGGCTTCTCTCTGAAGGACTGGGTTCCACGGTGCAATATGTTTCTTTAACTAGGCTTCACAGCACAGAGCCCCATGCGGGGCTTGAACTCACGACCCTGAGATCAAGACCAGAGCTGAGATCAAGAGTCGGATGTTTAACTGACTGAGCCCCCCAGGGGCCTCTCACAGTGCAGGTCTGCTCAGTCACACGCTTAGCCCCCAAGAAGAGGGGGCCCTGCTGCAGAGGGGGGTCCGCTTAGGGGGACCTACACTCTGAGGTTTCAGCCCCTTAGCCGGAAGCCCATTCTAGTAGCCTCATC